ATTGCTATAATTTGGGATGTTAAATTCTATAGACACTGTGACACATTGCAGTGCCAAGTTCTTCTGTGGGTTTACCATTGGTTTTTGCTTTCTATTTCAGTTTTCCAGCCTCAAATATGAGAAATCTGATAACTTGGATTTTGAAACACTTTCTGACCAGACATGAGAATTCCTTACAGACATTATTCAATAACTAGTTAGGATTTGGGGTACTAATTAGTACCTTGAACATTATTTCTAAATAAGAGTGAGTTCATATGTTTATAAGGCTGGAGCATTCAAAGGATAACCTGTTCAGTCTGGAACTTCTGAATTATGTAGATCAGTGTGCAAAAGCAGCATCAGAGATTATTGCTGCTATCTAAATGGAGATGCAAGAGAGGACTGAACATCTATAACTCACAGCTGAGTTGAAATGACACAGAAAATCTTAAATACATCAACAGATTTCAACAGTTATCTCCAGTAGAGGCCGAAAAGAAGAAACATTTTAAAACACAGATGAGGGGGCTCAAAGCAGAAAAATTATTTAATATATTATCTTTAAAACAGTATGTGCAAAAATTTTCCACCCCTACATTAAGAGACAAAAAGGTCTGCAAAGACACCCATTCAAAATTTTAAAAGTGCTAGAACTAAGCAGGTTTATTCCCTTTATTCCCTTTATTTTTCATTACATGATGATATGCCTAAAATTATTCCCTTTAGTTTTCATTACATGATGATATGCCATTTTTTCTATTAGATCCTTTAATGTACAAACCCTGCATGTTTTATTTTTCACATATTAGTCAAATCCTACTTTCAGAGTATACTGTCTGAAAACATTAGAGGAAAGAACTTAGTATATTAGAGTTGTTAATAAGCATAAGGGGAAAAAAAGGAAAAAAAAAACACCAAAATTTTGGCATCCAGTTTCAGACGTCTGTGATTTGCATTTTCAGTAAAACTAAGCAGTTAGGTGACCTTCATGTACATAGTCCTCTGAGATTTGACACAACAGTAAATGTCTCATTCTAGTGCTTCCAGACCACACGTGGGCAATGAAAAACGAGTAACTAGTGACCCTCTGTGAGAAGTTCAGTTTACATGACTCACACAACTTGCACAGGAACTCTGTGAAAGAAACACATGTAATTCTCCAGAATAAGGCTCTGAAGAATAAAACTATCCTTTAACTAGAAATTATTTGCAACAGTATCATAAGAAAATGGAAAAGCTGACTAAAGAAGCAAGTTATTAGTCAACAGAGGGAAGCACAGGCTATCATGGAAATACAGCAGTAGGGAAGAATTGGCTAGACAGCAAGTCAGGAGAAAAGGATCAAGGTGCTGAAGTGGATCACAAGCAAAGTGTAAATCGGCAACACTATGCTGTTATAAAAAAAGGCAAACTATATATGAGGAGATATAAAAAGTAATATATCCAGAAAGGCAGAACACTTCCAAGTTCACATCCTTACATGGAAAAGCAATCAAGCTTCAAGAATTTGAGACAATCCAAAGGAGAGCAAGTACAAGAGTGTCTTAATAGGTACATTACATTTAACCTATAAATGTAACAATAAAATGTAAGAGAGAAGACCTTTTTAATGTAAAAGTGCTACAAACCGGATAAATCTTCACCATGAACACCTGGAAAAGGGTAAGTAACAGATTTAAACTAAACTTTCTCACAGCTCTATCTTCTGATAGAAGCAGCGACCCAGGCAGCTTGCGGCATACTGTACCTCTCTCTGCATGCTTTACCGAGGCCTGTGTGACAGGGACCCACAGCTGAAGCGCAGAACAACAGACGCTGTGAACTCCTGATCTCCCTTCCCACCTTATGGTCCTACGATTTTGGGAGTGGAGACTTTGACTTAACCTTCCTTAACATGGTTTCTGAGTGGGATTTTGTCAGACAGTTGCATGCGAGGCGGTGGCACAGCACCAGACCGGTTATAGCCTCAACACCGAGCCCTGCTGCAAGCACCAGGCCACCTCCTCACCCTGCCTGTCTCGGTGGCCAGAGTGACCATCCCCACCCCCGGGGGCCTGACCAAGGGGACACAGGAACCTCGGGCCACGCACGGCACCAGAGGCACAGGCGTCTTGGAGACACCGCTCCTACGTGCGGTTTCTGACCGGCTTGGGACCGGGAAGATGAGGAAAGTGCCTGATGAGAAAAGTCTCCGTTCTCTGCTCCTCACGGTCCTCTGAGGCTAACGCGGCCTCTTCTCCTCCCCCTGCTTGGCCACCCCAGGGTCGGCCTCCAGGTCTTGCGGTCGCCCGGGGGGCACCGGAGCGGCCGGGCCTGCGCCGCCTGACCCCTCGAGGAGTGGGCAGATGGCGGCGGGCGCGGCGGG